CACACACACACACACACACTCACACACACACACACACACAAACACCCTCACACTCACACTCACAAACACACACACACACACACACACTCATGTGTTATCGTCAGATAAAGCCGCCTCTAAACAGCACGTTTAAACCGTGATCTGTGATTGGTTGCTTCACATGTCAGTCAGACGTCTATTCTAGGGCTGGGCAATATAGCTAAAAAATGTATCAATGATATAATGTTTCATATCGTTCGGTATCGATAATTATTTACTTTTTTATAACCCTTTTTGGGAAAAAAAGCGCAATCAATTTTTTTTGTTAAAATTTACCCACTGTATTTTTTATTTACCCAATTTATTAAGACAACAAATATTTTTTGTTTTTTAACAGTCAAACACAAAATAAAATTTAAACAAATATCTCCTTTTTTATGTTTTATCTGCAGATTAAATAAGTGTTAAGGAAACTTTTGTCGAGGCCACAGGAGGTGCAATGAGCAAAATAATGCAGTTAAATAATGCAATAATGGCAACAACATTTTTTTTGTGTGAAACATTACAGTTTTGGACATATAAGGTAATAAAAAAGTTTTTTTTTTAAATACCTTAAAGTAACTACAAATGGGCATGTAAAGCAAATATCTGGAGCATGCCCCGGTTCTCACCTGTTTTCCCACTCACCTGCTTCTGCTGCAGGTCTGTTCCTGATCCTGGGTCTGATACTGTATCCCGCCGGCTGGGGTTCAGATAAAGTGCAGGGTTACTGCGGCCCCGACGCCTCGGCCTATCAGCTGGGCCTGTGCTCCATGGGCTGGGCCTTCTACACCGCGCTGGGCGGCACCGTCCTCACCTTCATCTGCGCCGTGTTCTCCGCGCAGGCTGAGATCGCCACGTCCAGCGATAAAGTGCAGGAGGAGATCGAGGAGGGCAAGAGCCTGATCTGTCTGCTGTGAGACCTCTGTGTCTGCGTCTCATCATCTGATGTGTGTCCGTCTGATGTAAATATATGAGTGTAAATAATGTAAATATGATCGTGAAGGATCGTGGGTTCCAGTAGCCCAGAAACCACTTGATCTCGTGTGTGAGGAGATGAACGTGAGCATGTGCCAAAATCACTGATGCCTTGAGCCGCCCAACCAGTCCTGAGACCCACAGAACCAGAGACAAGAGTGTGTGTGTGTGTGTGTGTGTGTGTGTGTGAGTGTGTGTCTGCTCTTGTTCACTAGTGTTCACCATCATCTCTGCCAAATAAAGAAGCCATGAATGACTAAACATAAGTGTAGCTCCACTGTCTGTTTTTCACTTGAACTTCCTGCAAAACACTCTGGAGGTCAGTGACCCCTACAGTACTGGAGGAAGAGTGTGTGTGTGTGTGTGTGAGTGAGAATGTGTGTGTGTGTTTGATGATTCTGGAGTGTTTGTTCCACTGATTAAGGTTGAGTGTCACTGAAGTTATTTTGTAAATCTTAGTATTGTTTATATACAATTATAGTGTTTATTCATATTTTGAATTAGCTTTTTTTCCCAGTTTTAATTTTAGTTTAGGTTTTAGTCATTTTGTTTTGTGCTTTTGTCATTTTATTACTTTTGTTTTTTTTATAATTCTATTTAGTTTTGGTTTTATTATAGCTTTAGATTACTATGAAATTTTCCGCCATTGAAGTAAATTATTACTCACAATTATGATTTTTTTTTCTCTCAGATACTCAGAATTCTGACCTTCTTTCTCGCCATTCTGTTTTTTGTTTACACCACAATATAAAAAAATAAAAAGGGGTAATTGTGACATCTTGCAATATTTTTCCACAATTGCCACTTTATATATTGTAATTCTGTTTGTATCTCACCATTCTGATTTTGTCAATTGCAAAAAGTGTGAGACACACACACACTCACTCACTGACACACACACACACACTCTCCCGCTCTCTCACACTCACACACACACGCACACACACACACACACACACACCCTCTCCCTCTCTCACACTCACACACACACACACTCTCACACTCACACACACTCACACTCACACACTCTCACACACACACACACTCTCCCTCTCCCTCTCTCACACTCACACACACACACACTCTCACACTCACACACACTCACACTCACACACTCTCACACACACACACACTCTCCCTCTCCCTCTCTCACACTCACACACACACACACTCTCACACTCACACACACTCACACTCACACACTCTCACACACACACACACTCTCCCTCTCCCTCTCTCACACTCACACACACACACACTCTCACACTCACACACACTCACACTCACACACTCTCACACACACACACACTCTCCCTCTCCCTCTCTCACACTCACACACACACACACTCTCACACTCACACACACTCACACTCACACACTCTCACACACACACACACTCTCCCTCTCCCTCTCTCACACTCACACACACACACACTCTCACACTCACACACACTCACACTCACACACTCTCACACACACACACACTCTCCCTCTCCCTCTCTCACACTCACACACACACACACTCTCACACTCACACACACTCACACTCACACACACTCACACACACACACACTCTCCCTCTCCCTCTCTCACACTCACACACACACACACTCTCCCTCTCTCACACACACACACACACACACTCTCTCTCTCTCTCACACTCA